TGACTAGGGTTTCTGGGCTGCTAAGAACTATTGACAATCCCAAACTTATTAAATAGGCCAGCCATTCAATTAAACATGTGCCAGTCTCTGGTTGCTGTTCATCTTTTACTAGGCTCCGATTCTGAGCATAATACTGATCTCTTACATTCTATTTTCAACACATTTCCTCTCTTCCTACTGCACCACCACTATCCCCACAATATGATATTTTCTAGTCAGTTGTGTATTCTCATTCCTTGTGCATACTAGGATAGCCTCAGTTTACTAATTTTTACTCTAGTGAGAGTCCAGGCTTGACTTAATTGAGCACCCACTTTTCTACTTTTCTGGCTGTCGTATATTTATTTATTTATTTATTGACTTTATATGCCGCCCATTTAGACATAGTCTACTCTGGGCGGCTCACAAAATGCAGAATAAAAACAATATCAAATAACAATTTACAGCATTAACACAGAACAAAGTAGATAGAGAAAAAGAGAAAGTTACAGAGTGGCCGGAGAGAATTAATTAATTAATTAATTAATTAAACAATTATTAATTCATCATCGTTTAGTCGTGTCCGACTCTTCGTGACCCCATGGACCAGAGCACGCCAGGCCCTCCTATCTTCTTTGTATGCCACCATATTTTATGCTATTAATTATATTAATTGTATGTATTGTGTTTTTTCACTTTGTCCTTTATGATATTTTAATTTGCACTTTAACTTCGATGTTGTATTATTTTGTTATTTTATGGTTTTGTTACTGTTGTAAACTGGCCAGAGTAGACACACACACACACACACACACACACACACACACACATCTATATCTATCTATCTATATATGTTGTAAACTGCCCAGAGTATATATATCCCAACCTTTTTATCCCTACCTTTCTTCATTTTCTTTCACAGCTTTTCTTCATAGCTTTTCTTTCTCAGTTTCCCAACCTTAAGGAAAGGGTTTGGAAACTAAGAACATAACTTTCCAGTCTGTGTTCTGCAGAGTGCACATAGCAATATTGGTTTACCTGAGAGCTAAAAGGTTATGACTGCTTCTCCAAAGTATGTTTTGTATCCACTCAATGCTTTGCTTCACAATTTGATTAAGTCCAAAACAGCCCTTCAAAATATTTACACTTGTCAAAAACATAGACCAAACAGTTGCTTTGTTTTTGGGTGAGAAGTGATTAAGTGATGAAGAAAGGAATCAGCTTCTGGTATTTTCCCTTACCTTACTTAGTATCTCTTTGTGAATGGTGGTGAGCACAAGAGAGTATCCTAAGTATAGACCATCCTGACTGCTGTCATTGATGTTAACATTTAGGTTGCCTTTGGTATGTAAAGCTTTGCATTCTTTTTCCTGGCAGCAATATAGGCATGATACTGAGCAACAATATCGGCCATTTCCTAGCATTTTGGATCATCGACACAGAAATAGAGTGTTTCACATTTGTAAAATAGAGATGTTTTTGAAAAAAAGAGAATGAATAGCCTCACTAGAAAGGTAGAAACATCACCTAGAAACAAGTGGATATCCACCAGATGGATGTCTATATATAAGCAGAAGTCAAACCATGCAGGTACCTGTATTTTTCCATGTATAAGAGCCCCCCTTTTCTAACCGAAACTTAAGATATCAATATTTTAAACATAAAACAGAACACATTTTTATTTAGATAACATTTACATACCAGTACTGTCATATTATGCATCATACTTTTAACTTTCTTCAGCCTCTGGCCTCAGAACACTCAGACATTAGGCATCCCTGTTGCATCTGAGCACTGTTGCAATTGGTTTGTGTAGTTTCAGCTGATAGCAGTTATATAAAGCTCGTGATTGGATGAAGCTAAGTGTCCTGACTGTAGAAAGCTAAGCCTCCTGATTGGAAGCAGCTAAACCTTGGGATTGAAGGAAGTCTGTTTGCAGAGGCAAGGTATGGGGCATTTTGTTCTCTCCTCAGCTTATTTAGTGTATGTCGCATTCGACCTTGTTGCCCCTGTCTATTTTGGCCCTCACAAAGTCCCACACCCTTTTCTCTTCTAGCTGCCACTAGGTATTATCCTCCTAACGCCAATTATGTATGTTATACATGTGTGCTGCCAAAGCTAAGGTTTACTGAACTTAGGAATCAGAGGTCTGAGTAACAAATATTTATTTATTGTCAAGTAAATCACAAAGGTAAATCACGTATGAACTGCATCAGGTATTACCAAGGATTTGATTATGTATGGGGTTGCAAGTACTTTTATTATGAACTACTATATACTTTTAATCAATATCTATCTTATAGTACTGATAATTTCATTCCTGCTTGTTCAATATATTTTAACCTTCTCACTCTCTTAACTCTCTAAGCTCAATTCACTAACCCTCTTCTTCTCTCTCCTAAACCCTAACTGCCATTTCACATCCCCAACTGTCCCTCTAACTC